TTATTATCATTGTCATCATTATCATCATCACCGTCATCAGTACCATCATCATCATGAGCAGCAGCATCATCATATTCACCCTCATCATCTTCGTAATCATCAGTATGATGATCATCATCATCATCGTCATCATCATCGTCATCATCATAGTCACCATCAGCCACATTATCAGAATCACCATCGTCACCAACATCATCATCGGTCCCGTCCTGATCGTCATCACCACAACCTGTACCAACATCACTCTACTTACCCTCATTCTCATCATCATCATCACCGTCATCAGTACCATCATCACCATCATCATCATCATCATGATCATCATCAACATCAACCTCATCATCATAGTCACCATCATCACTAACTTCATCATCGGTCCCGTCCTTATCGTCATGACCACCAACTGTATCAACATCACTATCCTCACCCTCATTATCATTGTCATCAGCATCATCATCATCACCGTCATCAGTACCAGCATCGTCATCATGAGCAGCAGCAGCATCATCTGAATCACACTCATCATCTTCGTAATCATCAGCATGATCATCATCATCATCATCGTCGTCCTCATCATCGTCATCATCATCATAATCACCATCGGCCTTATTATCAGAATCACCATCATCACTAACCTCATCATCGGTTCCGTCCTGATCATCATGACCACCAACTGTATCAACATCACTCTACTTACCCTTATTATCATTGTCATCATTATCATCATCACCGTCATCAGTACCATCATCATCATGAGCAGCGGCATCATCATATTCACCCTCATCATCTTCGTAATCATCAGTATGATGATCATCATCATCATCGTCATCATCATCGTCATCATCATAGTCACCATCAGCCACATTATCAGAATCACCATCGTCACCAACATCATCATCGGTCCCGTCCTGATCGTCATCACCACAACCTGTACCAACATCACTCTACTTACCCTCATTCTCATCATCATCATCACCGTCATCAGTACCATCATCACCATGAGCAGCAGCATCATCGTAATCAAAATCATGTTCGAAATCATCATTATGATGATCATCATCACCGTCATCATCATCAGCATCGTCATCATCATCATCATCGTCATCATCATCATCATCATCATCAATATCGTCATCATCATCATTCTCATAATCACCATCATCATCACCATCGCCCCTGATGGGCGAACAGACGTCGAGCACGCACCACGAAACCAAGACAGCCGAGGTGTCACACGCGACGGCGTCAAGGAGCTTGCTCCCAGACCCCCAAAGAGACGCCCCCTCGAAAAGCACGCCACGTGCTACAGCACTCCCCGAGGACCGGGGATACAAGATATCACACGTCAGGACCGTCGTGCTCCCTTGCGCAAAGACCACCAACGCAGCTGGGCTTGCACGGTGGAGGGACTTGCCGCAGGCAGCTGGATAATGATGTCGCTGGGCACGTGCAAATTCGTGATGCCTTTGTTGGAATCCACCATGGCCATGTCCCCGCGCTTGGCATACGTTGCCATGATGTCGTCCTCGATGGCCTTGCGCGCAGGTTCTGGCAACGCCGATATTTTCTTGTAAATATCGCCCAAGCCATTGTTCACGTCGACGCCAAGGTTGGCGAACGTATCCCTGTGTTTCGCGAACACTTCTTTAAAATAAACTTTCACGCAGTGCCCAAACATGATCGGGTCAGAGATCTTCATCATAGTGGCTTTCAGGTGGAGCGAGAAAAGAACCCCAGACGCCTGAGCCTCCTGGATCGCATTCTCGTAGAAGTCACACAGCATCGCACAGTCCATGAAGCTGCCGTCCAACACCTCTCCAGCCTTGAGAGGTACGCTCTGCTTCAACACTGTCGTCGTGCCGTCGTCAGCGCGCAGCTCGATCCGCATGGTGCAAGGCGCCTCCACGACGACGGAACGCTCGTGCGAGTAGAAATCGCCGTCTGGCATGCTGCGGACGACGGTCTTCGAATTCGTGTCCCAGCTGCCCATGGAGTGCGGGTACCGGAACGCGTACTCCTTCACTGGCACCGCCGCTCGCCGGTCCGAGTTGCCCTCCCTCAGCACTGGGTTGACCGCGCTCCCCAGGACCTTGCCGTAGCGGTCCTTGATGCCCTTCTCGCGCTCGTCCTTGGGCTCCTCGGGGTAGTCGGGCACGGCGAAGCCCTGGCCCTGCAGCTCCTTGATGCACTCCCTCAACTGCGGCACAGAGGCGCTGATGTTCGGAAGCTTGATGATGTTCGCCTTCCCGCTCTGGGCCAACAAGCCGAGCTCGGCCAGGATGTCGGCCGTCTTCTGGTCGTCCTTGAGGCAATCAGGGAATTGCGCCAGCACGCGGCCTGCTACTGAAATGTCCTTCAGCTCCACGGCGACGCTGGCGTGCCCACAGAATGCCTTCACGATTGGGAAGAAGGCATGCGTGGCGAGCATCGGAGCCTCGTCTGTGTACGTATACATGATAGTCTCATCGTTGCGGGCCGGTGGTGTGAATCCGATCGTCATTGCGCCCAGGATTGTACAAGGAGGCTGTCACTTGAAACAGGAACAGGGTCGCGAGGGAAGTGCCAGGGGAGAATCGCTCTTGAGCGCAAAATGCTTGAGCCAAAAAGGCGACCACAGGGGAGAGGCAGCAGTAGTACGGCAGTCAAGCCCTTCAAGCCGTGTGAGGGTCAACTCTGAAAAATCGCTCGGGTCGGGCTGGGGCCGTCAAACGTGTCTAACCCCGTCGTCGTCACTTCGCCTGTGGGCAACCATGCTGCTAGACTTAACGCTGGATTCTAGGATTCCCAACTCTGCCGAGGAGCGGTGCAGAAAAGAAGGAAAAAGCAACAAGACGAGGATCCAAGACTGCGCAAGACCGTCCCAAGAGGCGACCATAAGACGCCCCTCCAGTCAACCCTAGGACTTTCCAGAACTGTCCCAACACTCCCCCAGACGGCCACAAGACCCTCAAGGATGGCACGAAGACCCCAACAAGCTCCTGAGGCCACAAGATCCCCTGGGGCCTCTCCAGCAGGGTCCTGGGAGGCCACAACCCCCCGCCATAGATCTGGGCCATGGGGAAATCATAAGTATGGCGTTACAGCCTTACCTGCACTGGAGAAACGAGCAGCTACCTGTCACGTTTCTTTGGGCCTCGAGAATGACAGGTGTCACATGTCAGGGTCCCTTCGGGTTTGCGGAAGAGCGTGACCCTAAACCCTAAACCCTAAACCCTAAACCCTAAACCCTAAACCCACAGTGGCGAACTCACCACCAACACGTAGGCACACAAGAGTTAAACTGACACATTTTACGACGTTGAGATGATTAGCTTTGAACCCCTGTTTGTATGATTCGTTTTGCGTGTTTGGCTGCTTTACTCACTTTGCACATGCCTGCTTGATTGCTTCCGTCGCTTGGAGATCATTGCTTGGTTGTGCACTTGTTTATTTTTCATATTTCTGGACGGCAATGTACCTCAAGGCATTGCACTACATTGTTTTGAAGTGCTGCATTGGTCTTGATTTGTTGTTTGACCCATTCTCTTACGAACCGTTAGTCAGCCTCGCGCTGGGGTGCAAGGAGTCGCCGGGCATGTGCATCTCCATACTCATTTGCAGTGGCACGTGCGTTCCACCACGTTGCGTTGCAGGGGGAGGCAACAGGGACAATGGGGATCTGCGCCCACCTGGCGGGCACCCCCCGAAGAGCACGGAACATGCTGCCGCCTGCGACCGGCGCTCTCGCACAGCGCCAAGCTGGGACCACGAAGGCGAGGCCTGCCTGGGGGTCCACGCCTCGGGCGGGGGAGGGGAAACTGACTACCTACCAGCCCACCCCAACCCAACCCGAAGACCCGAATTTCGGGTTGGGGGGGGTATGGGCTCCATATGTGTTTTTTCGATGTTCCCCACCCCCCCCACACTGGAAATGGAGGGCAAGTTGAGGCCTTCGGGTTGGGTTGGGGTGGTTTGGTGGGTGGTGAGGAACAGGAGGGCGGGGAGCGAGCGAGCGAGCGCGCCCCATCGGCCTGGTCCTGCAGCACCCGCCGCGCCTCGCCCAGATTTCTCTCGAAACGCCGCCGCCTCCCGCCGCAGCTCTCCCCCAGAAGCCCGGCTGCGGCCGCCTGCCGCCCGTGAACGCGCGCGCTCCGGCAAGGGACGCCCGACGCCCCACGTGCCCTGCGCTTCTTTGAAGCGGCCCCAGGACACACAAATGAATACGCACAGATAAAAACATTCCCCACATGTCCCCATATTTTCTGGGTTTTTGTCTCCCCCCCACTGCCCATATTTTCCCATATTTTCCTGGGAATCGACGATTCATTGTGTCTGTGTGTTTCTTTCCCTCCTGATTCTTGCAGATCTGCTGGAGATCACGAAAACGACGCGGCCGCGATGGTGCCGAACTGCACGGCGAGGTCGTCCTCCTCTGGCCTCACGTCCGCACACGCGCGCCCGCGCGCCTTGTCCGAAGGCGGGAGGGGCGGCAGCCGCTCCTCCCCGTACAGGCCCAGCTGCCAGCCAGCCTCCTCCCCCGCGTCGAACTGCCAGGTGCCGACCCGGGCGAGCACGCTCGCCCGCCACTTTCTCAGGCGCCCCCCCAGGTCCTCGATTTCCCCCGCGCGCAACCTCGCCAGAAACGCGCCAATCATCGGACGCAGAAGCCACAGGTGGATGCGCGGATGGATGCCGCCGCGCCCCAGAGACTCAACAGGGCCGAAGTACACGCCGACGAATCCGAACGCACCACGCGCCTCCGAAGCGGTCACGCCGTCGGAGACGCCCGGGGCCCGGCCTTGCGGCATGACGCCCACAACACGCTCCAGAAACATCTCCAGCATCAGGTTCGCCACCGTGGCCTGCGACACGGGATGCGCCGCCACTTTCCGCGGCATATCCTCCGTCGAAGGCATCACGGAGGAGTTCTCCTCCAAGACCCGCCAACCCGCCAAGTCGGCGCCGTCGTGCATCAGAGGCAGTAGCTGGCACTCTTGCGGCGCAACGTGGTCCGGCGCGCGCCAGAACCGACGACGTCCGAGTTGCTGAGGGACACGCTGCGCAGGACGCTCTTCACGTCCGAGGACACGGCCAGGCTGCTCAAGACATCCTTCAGACCGGCCCCCTTCCCGACAACAGCAACGACATGCACGAGCTCCTCAGAGTTTTAAAGACTCCAGCTTTGCCTGAGTGTCGCCAGGGCGCTGGTGGCGCACAACATGACTGGCCCCTTTTATGAAATTCCCCCTGCGCCACAGGCAGCACTGAGCTGCGAGCAAGTCCGCGCGGCGGCGCCACCGCGGCACGGGCGGCTCGGACGCGGGCGGCGCGTCTCCAGCGTCAAGCGCCGAGCCCTCGTCGTCGACGTCGTACTCGAGCTCCTTTCGATCCGTCAAATACCCACACCACTCTGCGCACGTCAGTCGCGCCCCTCTCGAGACCAAACACTCCCTCCCGCGGACGGGAACGCAATGGGATCAAAAGCGCTCCGCAAACCCGGAGAACACACTCAACGGCTCGCGCTTCGCTTCCCCGCCCCCCGCGCCGTCGGCGTCGACGTGCCCGACCGAAGCGCCAACGGCGCTGGCGCTGCCGCCAGCGCCGCCGCCGCCGACGCCGCCACCGCCTACACCGCCGCAAGCCGCCCGCGACAGAGCACATCCAGGAGGCGGCCGAGTGGCCTGAATCTCCTGATGCGTCATCTCCAAACGCTTCCGCATTGCTTCCAAATCGTAGGCGCGGGCAGCCTGCTGGCCTCTCGAAGACGCCCCCCCAGGTCCCGATCCTCAAACATTTCCATCCCGCCCAGCTGCCGCATACGCTCCTCAACCTTGGCCTTCTCGGCACGCAACACCTCCACCTTCTGAAGGCTGGCCTGCACTCCCTTCCACTGCCGGCCCAGGTCGCACTGCATGCCAGCGGCGCAGCACTCGCCCTGCTCGCCAGCACCGTGGACCATTCCCTCCCCAGCGTTGTCCTCGTCACCCTTCGCCCCGCCCCCGTCAGCAGCATCGCCATCGCCAGAAACGTGGACTACACGAAGCCCGCCAGCACCGCCCTCTCCCCCCTCGCCGCCCGCGTGACCCACAGCGTCGGTCTCCGCGGCCGCGCCGTCACCTGCGCACGCACTGCCCACCTCCTGCTTTGCGGACACACGGCCGGCGCCGGGCTCCACTGCCTCCGCGGGACCCCCCTGGCGAGCGCAGCCGCCCTCCCCCCGCGGTAACGCAGGCGGCGAGACAGCGCAGCAGGTCCAACAACGAAGACGCGTCGCCATCGGGACCAGCGACCTCATGCACGGCCTGCTCGCCCCAACGCACCACGGCGCACTGCTCGCTCGTGTCGCGGAGCTGCTCGCAGGCGTTCCTGAACATCGAGGGGCGCGCCGAGCTCCTCGAGCTGCGCGCGCTGCAACGCGGCGGGGCCGGATCCCGCGAACACGATCTGCACGAACTCCGCCAGGTCAGCTTCTCGCGGTGGCAAGGACACCAGCTGCCGACCTCCACCCGCCTGCGGGAACGTCACGAAGTCCCACACGAACGCCTGAATGCAATAGTCCGGCGGAGCCGGCGCGCCCGAGTCTGTCTTGCAGTTGAAACGCCTCACAGTGCCTTGCGCGATAGGGAGCAGAAGCTTCGCGCTCAGCGACAGATTTTACAAGGGCGGCGGAAGCCGACCGATCCACAAGTCCTTCGCGAGCGAAAAAATCTGGATGCAACAGACGAGCGCGCCAGATGATTCTGAATCGGTTTCTGTGCGCACCAGCTCTGTAGCTGTCCTGAATCTCGAGTTAAGTACAGAAAACCGTCAAGGCGTGTCAAGATGACTCGCAACGGCCGATCCCGCCGTAACGCTTTTTGGCAGTAAAAAGTACCCGATCGAGCTGAGATTAAGCGAGCGGAAATAAGATCGAATATCACGGGAAAGAATACTAGAGCTCTAACGAATGGTTGAATTTCGGGAACCAAATTTTCAACCGAGCCCAAGTCAGAAAAAAGTCTGTCGAGATTGTTATTGCCAACTAGCTCTCCAGCGCGCTGGAATTACTCTGAAGCTTCCAGCAACTAGCTAAGGGAAGCTCTACGAGTTATTGTCTCTTTAGGTCAGGTCTGCCAACTAGCTGCACCCTGCGCCCGAATTCCTCTTAGCTCAGCTTGCCGATGAGCTCTACGAGATATTCCTCTTAGTTCATCTTGCCAACTAGTTCTCAAGCGCGCTGGAATTACTCTTAAGCTTCCAGCATCTAGCTAAGGGAAGCTCTGCGAGTTACTCTTAAGCTTCCAGCAACTGGGCGCCGGCGGTAAACCGTCAACCTTTCTCACCGCCGGGAGACTCGTAGAGCTTCCTTGCCATATATCATGTCCAAAGCATTGGCAGAGAACGAATAGTTTTCAGCCCGAGCGCTGATAGCAGACTGATCTCAGGCTTCTAGATACATTTCACTATTGCCCCTTACGATTCCCTTCCTATTGCTGTGCTGAACAGCTCTCTAGATCTTCTGCACCACAAGTAAACCCAAGA